ACGGCTCTTGTCTTCTTTGGTCTGGGAAGGTGTCTTCATCACCCTTTAGATTAAAAACAGGCTTAATTGAATGGTATAATATAAAAAATTATCCCATTAGGGTACATTGAGAAACTGAAGCAGCATGGTCTATATGCTTAGGAAACAATTTGATTTTAAAATACATGAGTATGCACAGATATCATGTTTTGCAATAAAATAAATTTCTCTTTCAATTCCATTTTCTGTAAATTTTGCAAGTACCTTTACATTATTATGTATGTATCGTGTTCTAGGCACATTGTTGAGTGCTGAAGATAAAAAGTGGTATCAAGTACTATAGCACAGTTATTAAGTCAAGCTTATATGTCTTTGTCCTAGGAAAAACACTGTTGTTTAAGTGCTAGAGCTCTAGAATGGGAGGGGGCACTGAAGTCTCTGAGAGGTGGAGTCAATCTTACAGATCAAAATATGCGGGGGGCAGCCTGGCCCAGAGAAGGGTGTTATTTAGGGAAAATGAAAAGAAAGATGAGTATCCCCAGCAGATTTAAGTGAAGGTAATTTAGAGGAGAATGGAGGAGTGTACCAATTTATTGGGTGATGGATGTGATAAGATCTCGATAACTGTGTGAAGTATGATAGGCAAGGAAATTACACAATAGGAGGTGGGCAAGATTTCTGGAAAAGAAAGAGGGAAGAGAGAAAAAGAAAGTGACAGGATGGCAATAAACCTGGGTCTCTAGCAGAAAGGAAGTATTGGATGCCAAAGACATATAAATATATATAGAGAGGGAAAATCATTGGGACTTAGTGGATAAAGAGAGTGAAAAGGAAAGACACTATCAGAAAATGATTCTTCATTAATTTGTTAATGTAAGCAATCCCAGAGTGAATTGGGTTTGAGAGGCATTAGGAAGAGTTACATTAGAAGTCACCAAGGTGCTGACGTTGAGGTGGCAACTAGACACATGATATTACTCACGAATGACACTGGCTTTGGGGGTATACACAAGGCTTTCACGAATGTATGGGACAAAATTATAAGTGCATGACTCCACAATTTTGTGGGATAGTGCAGAATGCCTGTTTCTACATCTGAGTGATTGGAGGGGAGTAAATCCAAAGATGAAAGGGAGTGACCAGTAAAGTGGGAGGAGAAAGGAGTTCAATGGGAGTATCATGGAACCAATATATAGAGTTCTAGAAGTCCTTATAGAAACAGTTACAGTAACATGATTATAGCAGATATAGCTACTGGCTTTATCAAATGACATGAAAAGTAGTATTAAAGTCTTTTCATGTATTCATTTTTATCCTCATAACAATTTTATGAAGCTAAGAATAAATGGTTAAAAAGTAAGGAGAGAATATTTACAAAGAACAAAAGAACAAAATTGTAGAATTAATAGAAATAATAGAAGTTAACATTATTAAGTATTTTCTATGTGCTAGGCACTATGTTAATTATGTTACAGTCTGTTCCATGAAGTAGCTGTTATCATCTCTGCTTTTTAAAGAGGAAATGGAGATTTGGCAAAGTACAGTATCTTCTTCAAGGTGTGAGGGAAAACTGAAGTTGGAAAAACAATAAGTTATCTTTTTTCCAGTCCTCATTTTTGCTTTGTATTTACTATAGCTATAAATTTTATAAATAAAAATGCTCCAAATTATTAATTCATGAATATATATCCTACTCTGCAAGGCAGGCTGCTTTTGTAATTGAAACATTTCAAGAAGAATTAGATGTTTTCCTTCTGATTGCAAAGTTCATAAATAGTAGCCATGGATGTCAACATCTTCCCCATATATTTTTATACATTATTACAGTTATTTCAGGATCCATGGGTAAAGAAATGATATCAATTATAAAGTTTTTTATTGATGTCACGCTGTTTTCTTACTACATGCTAAGTATCGTTTTCTCCACAATTTAGGATTTTATTTTATGTTATTTTGGGAAGCATAATCAGAAAAGAGCTGCAATAACATGCGAGTTTGTTATTTATGACTTTCTTCCAGCATACAATGGAAGAATAGCAATAATGGTTCTTACACTCTTTGAATGTAAATCCAAAGCATGAGCTTGTGGAATATTTCCTTGTGGTGATCTCCAATTGTAAATTGTAACAGTAAAGCATAATTTAAATGAGGAGAATTGTGGTAAGATTCCCAAAGAGATAAAATCCATAGATGCTACATCTCTTTGTAGATGTTTTATTGACTTTGGCGAGATCCCATGTAGTAATGTTCTACTTAAGTATAGCCTGCTGAGCAGTTAATGATAATAATATGACATGTTTGACAACAAGGAACAGAGTGAATCGAGAGTGGTTTTGACCCACCTTTTGAAGTCAGTTAGCTAAGATGTTTTTATGTTTCTTTTCCTTGGTTTATAAATTATCGTGATTTATATAAAGATCATTTAATTATTTTCTTGGAACAGGATAATAATTCGTTTTAAAAAAAACTGGTTAGTTTTACTCTTGAGGTTTTGTCCAACTGCTTTTCTTCACTGCTGCCCTGTGATTTTCCTCATTGTATCTCCTTTGGAATAATGATATGTATATACATTTTTGTCTTGATTTTGACAAGGTTTAGAGAAAACATACTTCAAGTGTGTTACTTAAATCACATTATCTCTTCTTTTTGGCCCCTACTTGTGATATGATTTATCTTCAGTACACATCAATGCATCATCCTTCCAAAGCTGATTTCAAAATTTCGGATTCAAGATTGATTTAGTGGTATTTTGGTGTTAATGTTAGTGGTATTCCTATTCATCACATAAGAATGATCACCCTCAGAACATGGAGGGTGTTCCAAGTTGCATTTTCTAACTTTTAGGTTTTTTTAACCATTAACTTATGAATTTCAGAAATTAAATTATTATTGAGGAAGAATCTAAATTTTACCAGGGATATAGCTGTCCTGTCCAAGTTCCCTGTTTCTGAAACTTTATAGGCTTCAGGTCATAACTGTATTAGGCCTTTATGTTTATTATATAGATGGGCCAATTATGAAGTAACAAACAAACCTAGCCATGTATATTTCACAGATATAATAGCAAATTAATAGAGCTCTATAAAAAATTTTATGAATTTCAAAATATTTATTTATTGATTTGAAAGCCAGAGTGACAGAAGGAGAGGCAGAGAAAGAGAGTTTCCATCTGCTGGTTCACTTCCCAAATGACTTCAACAGCCAAGTCTGGGCCAAGTGAAAAGCAGGAACCAGGAACTCCATCCAGGTATCCCAAATGAGTAGTAGAGGCCCAAGTACCTGGCTCATCTTCTGTTACTTTCCTCAGCATATTAGCAAGAAGCTAGAAGGAAAGGGAAATAGCTGGTGCTTGAACCAACACTTAGCCGTGGGATGTGGGCCTGACAGTATCAGCTTCATCCATTGTAGCACAGCGTTGGTACCAGTGTTGTTCTTTCATGTATAAAATAAGCGGTTTTGGATGTCATATCCCTAAGCCTCTTGATCCTTGCTCTTTTGCAATAGTATTAATAGACTATCTTAAAGGTCATCATTATCTTTTAAAGTAGAACATTTTTCAGTTCTGGTATACTACATCTATGGCTACAATTACAATCCAAATTATACCATGTATGTCCCTCTTGAGTTGAACATCTTTTTTTTTTCTATTTGCTCAATATATGTTTTCAGGTGTACTACATATTTTTTTTGAGTACAACATGTTCTATTAAAAACTCTACATTTTTCAGCCATTTCTAACAGTATTCTCTGTTTACACTATTGATTTTGATGAAAGATTTTACTGTGTACTCAGGCTCTGAAGCTAAAACCTGTGTCTTTCTTTCCACCTCTTCCAATGTTAGTACCAGCTTCTAATTGCCAGGTTTAATATCCTTATCTCTAAAATGTCTCTCAAATCTAACTTTCTGTTTTTGTTCTTACTTCCACTGCCTTCAGTGGCTTACTCTTTAACTGTTATCTCTCCACTCAGTCTAACCACATTTTACAGGAATGAAAAGAGCATTTATTGACTTTTTAGAATGTGGTAGGAATAAGCACAACAATAACAAATAGAGATCCAACTCCTAAATTTGGATAACTTGTGTGATAATATGTGAATTTCTATTACTTTCCCAATGTATTATATTTATCTCTATTTCTATCCCTTCAGTCCTTCCTTCTTAATTTTATCTTTATGGGCCAGGGCTGCAGCTCACTAGGCTAATCCTCCGCCTGCGTCTCCAGCATCCCAGGTTCTAGTCCCATTTGGGGCGCCGATTCTGCCCAGGTTGCTCCTCTTCCAGGCCAGCTCTTTGCTGTGGCCGGGAGTGCAGTGGAGGATGGCCCAGGTTTCTGGGCCCTGCAACCCCATGGGAGACCAGGAGAAGCACCTGGCTCCTGACTTCGGATCCGCATAGCTCCGGTCATAGCGGCCACTTGGGGGGTGAACCAACGGAAAAAGGAAGACCTTTCTCTCTGACTCTATCTCTCACTGTCTAACTCTGCCTGTCCAAAAAAATAAATAAATAAATAAATTTTATCTTTATGATACAGACTCAATGCAAATATTTAAAGTCAAATGTCACTTTTGTCTATAGCTATTAAAACACAATATCCTTATTTATCAAAGGGACCCTTTCATATTTCATATTTCATTATCAAATTTTGCAATATGGTGTCAATATTACTTAGTACCTTCTAGCTATTTAGAAGTAGAGAACCTAGTTTTGAGAGTAGTTGAAAATGAGATTCTGAAAATCATAGGACAGCCTACCAGTTAATTAAGCATTTATAGAACAGTTAACAAGTTGCAGTATTTTAGAGAGCATTGTCAATTGTTGATGTAGAACACAGAATGAATTATAATATATTCCCAGAATGTGTATAAAGTAAATGCCTCCTTAAAAAGAGCATTTTTAAACAAAATCATTTCCTTGAGATTTTTGAAATTTTGAAGAGGAATCTTTAATGTGCTAAAAAACGCTATAGTTTCCCTGAAAGAAGTGATTAGATTTAATTTAATAGTTTTCTGTTGCTACTAGGTACACGCTGGTGGATATTTTGCGTGCCATCTTACTTTCTTTAGAAGCCATGATTGAAGATCCCGAGCTTCAAGTGAATGGATTTGTCTTGATCATAGACTGGAGTAACTTCACCTTCAAACAAGCCTCTAAACTTACACCAAGCATGCTGCGACTAGCTATTGAAGGCCTTCAGGTAAGGATGTACAAATTACCCAGTTTCCTGAATGCTCATGTTTGCTTTGTGCTGTCTAATATATTAAAATAACCAAATGTCTTAAGAATAACCCAGCCAGATTTTTAAAATAGTCTTTGAGCACAAGCACTAAAATACTAACAGTGCAGAGGATTATAGCAGTCTATTGATAGTGAGATGAGAGTTTTTTATACTCGGCACAAGTCCTCTGTGTAAACATAAATATGGTATTGAATTCAGATTCTTCTTTTGATAATGGATGAGCAAAATGGTTTAGGATTTTAATTTTTTGCTATTAAGCATGGTTTCTGATTTCTTTTTTCCTTTTCCTGTGTGTTGGTTAATTGGCTAAATATTTCCCTTTGCCTTATTGTTTTACTTACTTTGGTAAATTTGGGAAATGAACTGTAATATCTTCATGTTACCTAATCAGTAAATCAGTGTACTTTTTTGGGCTTTATGTTACAAAAATCTCCATTTTGAATTACTTTTTTAAAGTTAGTTGGAGTTTCTTATTTTTTTTTCCTTGGGAAGGTCCATCATGAAATTCATAAAGGCATGATACACCTTCCAGTAAATGACATTTAATTGGCTGGGAATTATAAATTAGGAAATGAGTTATTTAGTGATATGTCATAATCATCCTTCTGCTTTCTATTTTGCTTCATATTACATAGTGTGTAATATTTATGGAACTGATTTTAAAGTTTTACAAAGATTCAGTAATTAACTTTTGGGTTATTTTATTCAGTATTATCTACACTTTCAACAAGTGTTTCAGAAGTTTGCAAGATAATAGTTAATTTTTCTAACTGAAAATATCTGTTGGTTTAAAACAATAAATTCTATTTTTGTCATTCATTAGGCCAACATTTTAAATGTTTTTATGTTGAAAAGCCAAAATCATCCAGATCTGTACTCCATAGCAATTTCTAACTGCATGTATAGGTACCTAACTCAATGAATGTTGACCTCCTAAGAATGGGTCGCTTCTCCAGGCGGCAGGACATCTTAACCAAATTGAATTCACAGTTTGATTTCTGCCTCTGGACTGAATAAAGACACAATGATTTTTCTTATTCATGTAGGTATTTCCCAATGTAGGCTTTCTGACTTCTCTTGGTGATTCAGCTTTACGTGTCTTATCTTAAACTACACCCTTTTCAACTCCACAGGAATAGCTAATAATGGTTGGGAGAGAGCACAGGATAATATGTTTTTTAGAAATGTGTGTATCATGTAGAATCAGTTCTACTTCTGTCCCCTTATCAGGCATCTATAAAGTATTCTTTAGTTTGTGAAGAAATTTGGTTGTTGCCAATTATTGTACTTAACACAGAATGGTAACCTAGCCATTCATAATCATTATCCCTATTTAACCTGTGTCTTCTCTTTGCATGAGGGGTTGGTAGCCAAGGTCTTGAGCTCTATGAATGACAGAAGAACTACTACTACCATGCAAATTTCAAAGACATCTCAGAAATAGATTTAATATGTTGCTGTTTTGCAACATACACTTTATGTAGTAAGTAATTAAATAATAATGTCCTTGGTCCAGTGCTGTGGCATAGCGGGTAAAGCCGTCACCTGCCATGCCAGCATCCCATATGGGATGTCCTAATTCATTGTAGGATAAAAAACTAACAGCGCAGAGATTTTGGGAGCTTCCTCTTCGCCACAACCACTAATCTAACTCCTTTTTATTTTATTTTTTAAAGATTTATTTATTTATTTGAGAGGCATAGTTACTGAGAGAGTAAGACAGAGAGAGAGACAGAGAGAGAGGTCTCCCATCCACTGGTTCACTCCCCAAATGGTCACAGTGGCCATAGCTGGGCTGATCTGAAGGCAGGAGCCAGGAGCTTCTTCTGGGTCTCCAAAGTGGTTGCAGGGGCCCAAGCACTTGGGCCATCCTCCATTGCCCTCCCAGGCTATAAGCAAAGAGCCAGATATGAAGAGGAGCAGCTGGAACATGAACTGGTGTCCGTATGTGGTGTTGGCGCCACAGACAGAGGCTTAACAATACTATGCCATAATGCTGGCCTCATAAAACTCCTTTTATTTGAAAGGCAGACACACATGTACACACACACACACATAAACACACACACATACACACACAGATGCAGGGGTGAGAGGAAATCCTGCATGCAAGAGAGACAGATCTTCTGTTAACTCATTCACTCCCCAAATGTTCATAATAGTTGGGCAGAGGCAAGGAGTCTGGCCAAGATCCAATTCAGGTATCTCAATGCATAAGGACTCACCACCTGCTGCCTGCAGCAAGGTGAATATTAGCAGGAAGCTTGAATTGAGAATGGAACCAGACTCAAACTCAGGCACTCTAATACAGATGTGGGCATCCAAATTAAGTCTTTTTCCAAAAAAGATTTATTTCTTTATTTGAAATTCAGAGTTACAAAGAAAGAGGGAGAGACACAGGGATAGATCTTTCACCATCTGGTTCGCTCCTCAAATGGCCATATCAGTCAGGCCTGGGCCAGAACTAGCTTCTTCCAGGTTTCCCATGTGGATGCAGTGTCCCCAGAACTTGGACCATTTGCTGCTTTACCCAGTGCATTAGCAGGGAACTGGATCAAAAGTGGAGCAACCAGGACTGGAACTGCACCCTTATGTGATACTTGTATTATGGGTGGCGGCTTAACTCCTTACACCACAAAGCTGGCTCCCCAATGAAGTCTTAGCTATTGTGGAAAATGCCTGTCCTCAGAACTTTTTTTAAGTGTTAAGTGTGAACATGATTGGAGTTGCAGCTGGATTAAATCTCAGGATTTGTGTCTAGAGAGGGAGATGACTCCTCATACCTTCAGTGGTTGCAAATACAAAGCTGCTTTATCTCTAATCCCCCTAAAATTTATCAGTCCCTTCTCACTTCTCCCCCAACATAGACTGAGTAAGCAGAGTTGTTGATTGCTTCTGATTACCAGCTGAGAAGCCACTTAAAAGAATGGAGCTATTCCTAGGAATACATTAACATGCTACTAATCTCTGAACTCAATTTTTCTCCAGTTCAAATTGATTTTTTAAACTATTCTTAGCTAAGTCTGTGTCTACAAAACCATATCTGAAAACAATGGTAATTCTGAATAAGAATATAGGATTGTCAAAAAATGTTCAATCTTGTTATGCATAATCTCATAATTTAGTCTCTTTTGAAGTAATATTTTCTGACTTTTAAAATCAAGTCACTATTGCATTTGCTACATGAGAAATATTATTGTGCATTGCTCTATGTTTCACTTACAGTATGAATAAACATTTTTTCAAGATTAACATAAGACTGCCAAATATTGAAGTAAACGTACATACTCAATTTTATGTTGCTAAACACAACCACTAGCACCACCAAGATTACAACATAAGCATAATAAACCCAGTTAAACCCATCAGAAAAATTAAAATATTTTTAATCTCTGTGATAATTTATGCCATACTTCTTTTATTAAGTTACTTTTACTTAGGTGAATATAAAATAATCTAGGACTTGGAACTAAAAATGAGAAAGGCTACTAGCAAGATTCTGGCTATAAAGCTCAGTGATGTATAAATGGTATGTAATTGTGTTTTGAAGAAGACTCAGCTCTTTTCCTCTCCACATGGCTGCATAGCCTGCGAATTCACTTCCGTAATTGCCCTTTTACCGAAATAAAACAGTATTTTGAATTATCTGGCTAGAAATAACAACTGACACCTTGTATAAAGATACATACACCATTACTACAGGCCCACACATGATCACATCACATGGTCAACTGAGAGACATTATGGACAGGTGGAAATAGAATAGGTTCAGAATCAGACCAGTGGGATTGGGATGGCATCCCTATCACATATTAAATGTTTGGGCAAATAACTTAATTGGATTGAATCACAGTTTTTTTTCCAATTATACCCATTTTAAAGAGTTATCATATTAGAAATGACCCATCTTGCACCTAACAGGTAATATCACTGATGAAAAAAAATTAATACTGAGAAGCTTATTTTTCAGTTGGAAACTTTCTCTAGATGTATTCTGTTTGTCTCACAATTTGATGACTATCTAACCTGTGATGAATTAAATTTGGTTGACTTTGGGAATATGAATAATATCATGCATTTCCTTTGTTGTTCAAACTGTAGATATATTGACTGTATTTTTTTCCTATCACTTCTCTGTGGTTTTTATTTATATATTTCCTTATTAGATGCCAAATAAAATATATTTTCATGTTGGAAGCCAAGCAATGGGATTGCTTCACCTGCTCAAATTTATTATGTATTTCTTTTGGGAAAAGACTCATGCACAGACAGAAAGGTGGTGATTGTAGAGATATCCTTGGCTATAAAGGTTGAACAAGAATTTTCAAAGTAAGCTAGGGCAGGAAAGGAAGTGCAAGAAGGGGATATTGGGAAAGTTCTTGGACAAATACACAGATAGAGGGGCTTGGAGGTATGTGATGAATCTGTTTTTATGTGACTAGAATGAGAAATGAATTGAAGACAGTAATCACAGATGAGCCTGACACTTGTCTCTGCGGCAGGGAAGACTGCTTGCAGATTGGTTTGGTCTGTGCTTGCCAGAAGTGTGGGATAGGAGAGTGTCATGGTCACTCCTCTGTTCTGGAAAGATATTTGTATGGAAGTGTAGACTTGAATCACAGAGAGACTGGAGAGGGGGAGAGAGAGAGAGAGAGAGAGAGAGAGAGAGAGACCCAGGGAATCACTGGCAGTCTTGAGGTAATTATTTTAATCCCATTTTATGGGACAGGAAATGGAGTTTCAAATACTTAAGTATATTTTCTCAGTGATCATCATGGCTTGAGTCCTGGTTGTTTGACTCCAAAGACCGGTGTCATTCCTGAATCTTGCCATTTCTGTTGTTCTAGGCTGTCCTTAAGTAAAGTAGTCAGACTTGGGCTCAAGTTGCTTCCCCATCCACCTCCAAAAATGTATACTTCAATTCAGGTTAAATTTCTTTATTGGGATAGGCAATGCAA